ATATATAAAACTCTTTTATTTTCCTATTTTGGCTAAGCAAATTAGAAGAAGGAAGTTCAAGAAGGAAAGACAGAACATGGGGAGAAGAAAAAGGCAGGGAGATGTTTTGTTGTTCCATTGTCTGTTATGTATTTATGTTTGTATGTATATATGTATATCACAAAGGCTATGGGCATATTCTAGGTACTGGTTTTAACAGTAGAATAGGTTTTTAGAGTCTTGAAATTTCTATGGGCTTCTGAGTAGTTTAGAAAAGAGCTTTTTGTGAGTTTGAAAACAGATTTTCTCTATTTTCTATATCATTTTTAACCAGCACAATATAAGTGTGAGTTACTATTATTGATATTATTAAGATTAAAGACAGCAAAACAAATATTATAGAAAGTATCAAAAAATAGAAAAAAATACCATTATCTTATTCTTTTAGCAAAGTTGTTAAAATGATTATATACTACCTATTAAGCTTTTTCATAAATTATGATCAGTGTAAAAACAGATCTCACTTCTACCACTGCTATTTCAAAAACAAGTAATTGTTTTCAGAATATTTTTTTCTTGCAATGTGAAGATTTTACCAGATCTGATAGACTTTCCTTGGACTTAGATGTTTCTTTTGGAACTTTCGTGTGCATTGGAAGTTGAAGTTGATATGAAATTTAGGAAGTTAATTGAGATGATATTTGCCCATGGACCCAAGAGAACCTAAATCTCGTCCTTAATGTGTCACTCCTCCCACTGAGGTGCCCATGACTATATATAGAAGAGATCAAGGCCTCCATATAACCAGCTGGCACTTTGGCTTGATTCTCAGTATAATAATCTGATGAACTAGGCCCAACATATGAAGGATTCCTTTCCCTGTGTGAGGTGGTTCCACGTAGCTTAGAACCAAATTATCTGGTGGTCTGCTCTGTTCATTTCTACCTTAGTTGAAGTCTAGAGCAGAATATGGATATTCTGTTACAATAGGAGGAATAGCCATGCCTGCAAGAACCAGAGAGCAACCTGCCCCAGAATCTAGAGAATCCACTAGTTTGCTCTCTTTGGGTTTCTAGCCGTTTGTGGTCGGAGAACTTGATTCTCATGTCTGATCACACCTTGTAGGAGAGGAAAGAAGGCTGGCTCTTGGCCTTTCTGACTACCTCACTGTTCAGGCACTGAACCTCCTGGGAGAGGAAAAAGAAAAAGGCTCAGAGTTCCAATAATTGGGAAAGAAGCAGAGAGTGAAATTACTGCTCAGGTTGTAAAGATTTCAAGCACGTTCTGTCCCATTTTAAAGTGTAAAGTAAACTTAACCTGGATTGTGAGCAGCACACTTGACACCTTAAAACTTTTGGGGACAGCTACATTATTTTTCCTTGAGAATCTCCAAACCAGAACTAGTCCCTTACTTTTAGTAAATTGCTACCCAAAAAAGAGAACATGTTATTTTCCCATGAGATTGGATGTTTAAAAGTCATTTTACATATTTTGTAGTGTTGAGGGGTGGGTGAGGGGAAGAAAGGCACCAAGCTTTGATGGACTGACCCATTTAGCTTTGAGATACCACCTACCTTGAAAACACAAAAGAAGTTCCTGTCAAAGTTAGAAGTTCTATATCCTATTGGTTTATTTTTACATGTGAAGAGCAACTTTCCTTTGAAGAACTCAAGGGAATGTACTGAGAAATGTTAAACAATGAACACTTGATAAACCTCAATAGCAAACCAAGAGCCTGAGAGAAGTTGGGATGGGAATACAAAGCAGGAACTAAGAAACAAAAGGGAAGTGCAGTTGGGAGAGTCAAGGCAGATTCTCATCAGGTATTAATGTGCTTCTGTTCTGTGCTCTCTTCCAGCATAGCCTTTTGTAGGAAGAAATGCAGATGGTGTCAGTGTGAGCATATTACCACCTGTGCAAACAAGAATAGCCAAAACCCTATGAGGATGATTATACAGCATGTTTTATAAAAAGGGAAACTTCCTTAAGGGTTTTAGAAATCATTTCTAATATTCATATACTATGGTGCAAAAAAGAGCAAACCGTATATTATTTTCACTTTTTAATATGAAATCTGGTTATGGATAGAACTGAACTCTTCAAGGTCTAGGCATTGGTGGAGATGGGTAGAGAAAGAAAGCCTATTGGTTCCCAGGTGAGAGCTCTGCCATGTAGCAGGGTCTTCTGTTTGAGAATCACCAGCAGATATTAGAGATTAAAAGCAATATGACTCTACTTAGAGGCTAAATAAGATGTTTTGTTCATATTGACCATACTACATGGTAAATGTAAATAAATCTAATTGTGAAGGTAATTTTTTTAATGAATTAATGTAAGTCCAACCAAGAATGTGGATAAGATGATAAGCAAAGAAATGCAAAGTAAAATAAAATTTTTTCCACATTTAAATCTTAAATCCATCTTATTTTGGTATATGGCATAAAATGAGGTATAATTCCCTCCCTCCCCCAAATAATCAACCAATTGCCTCAGCACAACTTACTGAATAATTCTTATTGCCAATTTAATGCTGTCTTTACAATATAACTCATAGTGTTTTTAATTCTTTTGCTCAGCCTACATGATGATTCTAGCAGTAGTATGTCCGTTTTAATTCTTATATCTGTGTAAGTTTTAATTATCTTGTTAGACAAGTGTTCCCTCATTTCCCTTTTTCAAAATTTTGCCTAATCTATCCTGTTTATTTTTTAATTTTTTTAAAAGATTTTATTTATTTATTTGACACAGAGAGAGAGATAGTGAGAGAGAGAGAGAGCACAAGCAGGGTGAGCAGCAGGCAGAGGGAGAGGGAGAAGCAGGCTTCCCACTGAGCAGGGAGCCTGATGCGGGACTCGATCCCAGGACCCTGGGATCGTGACCTGAGCCGAAGGCAGCCGCTTAACCGACTGAGCCACCCAGGCGCCCTAATCTATCCTGTTTATTACTTCAAATGAGTCCAGAATTACTTTTCAGAGTTCAAAAATAGAATTTTTAGATTTTGATTATGATGCCATTAAATCAATACAGTATTTGGAAAGACCTTATATAATTAAAATATTTGATTTTTTTCACCAAGGGAGATTAACTATTTAGTCACATCTTTCTTTTATGTCCTTCGGTAAAATTGTAAAAATTTATTCATGCAGTTTCAGTACATTTCTCATTATGTTTATTGCTAGATACTTACTCTTTTAAAAAATTATAAATGGAATTTTATCACTGTGTTTTTGAATGGATCTTTTTGGTATAAAGGAAGTTATTGGTTTTTGCATAAAATTAAAAAAATTTAAATGCCTTGCAGAAATCGATTATAATTCTAAATAGTTCTTTGGTTTAGATCTTCTAGGTAGATAATCATATTTGCAAATAATAATGATATTCCAGAGGTGTTTCTGCTTTATTATTTTTTTTCAAAGAACCTTAGCCTTGGGTTTCCTAAAAATAAACAAATTAGTTTTTCTAATTCATTATTCTCTGCTTTTATTTTCATTGTTTTATTTCTTAAAACTCCTCTCTTCTTGGCTTCTGTGGAACTCTTCTCCCCATTTTCCTCTGTGTTGCTCCTGCTCACCCCTCCTCCCAGAGATGAATCTCACCTACCAAAGAATCTGTCATTGGGCCCTTCCTTCTCTATTTATATTTCCTGTTAGCCTGGCTTTTGTTAATGACCTCAGATCGCTCAGGATCTGAAAATCCACTTAATGATCATAGATGAACTGTCCCTGCTGAATACCAGTTTTTTTTTAAATTATGGTCATAAATACACATAACATAAAATTTACTATTTTAACCATTTTTTTTTTTTAAGATTTTATTTTTATTTATTTATTTGACGGAGAGAGACAGCGAGAGAGGGAACACAAGCAGGGGGAGTGGGAGAGGGAGAAGCAGGCTTCCCACTGAGTAGGGAGCCCGATGCGGGGCTCGATCCCAGGACCCTGGGACCATGACCTGAGCCGAAGGCAGACGCTTAATGACTGAGCCACCCAGGCGCCCCTATTTTAACCATTTTTAAGTGTACAAGTCACTGAATAGCAGAAGCTTTATTGTGTACTTGGCTATGACTAAGACTTCATCAAGATGATTCAAAGTTCCTACTTTATGAACGATCTTTAATTGCTTCCATTTATTTCTTCTCATTGGCCAGATCCTATCAGTTTTACCTTGTTATGTCTCTGTTTTCACTCTGCTCCGTTACCAAGGCCAGGCCTTATGCTCAAGCTGTGGAGACTCTTACTTGCCTCCTTGCCTTTATTTTTTGTCCCACTCAATATCCCCCAAGCACCAGATCCTATCAAGCCATATTCTGTTAAAAGTTTTTGAATGGTTTTCAGTAGCCAAGAGAAAAAGTACAAATATTTGGCATTCAAGGCCTCATGATCTGGCTGTAGCCTACCTTGTTGTTGATCACCTCTCTCCCTTCATACAGTCTGCTCTAGCTCAGGAGACATATCGAGGGAAGTGGGCTGGGTAAGGGATGGAGACACCCAGGACCAGTTGGAGAAGGAAAAGGGAACTGCCATCTTGCCCAAAGAATAAGGATTTGGCCTTTGCATTGCCAGAGCCTTCATTTTTTTTTCTCCCCAGAGAACCTGCTAATCTGGAATTTTATGTGAAAATCTCTCAATTTAAAATTGTTGTTACAAATTAGTATCTTTGAAAAACTTGGAGCAATTGAAAAATCTGTCTGTGGGCTAGATCCATGTCACAGTTGATGGCAGGGTTTCTTTAGATTCTCTATGTCTGTCTCTCTTGTCTGGAATTGGGACATTACATTATAGTCTAAAGAAATGTTAAATCCAATAAGAGTTTCAAAAATTCCCACTGTAAAAAGGTTACTGCTTTAAAGGTTTTCCATGGTTCCTGTGAAAAGGCCATAGTCGGATTTAAAATGATAAAAACTAATAGTACCCACTTGTGCCTCTGGGAGCACCCTAAGAGGCTTTTTTTGAGCTGGCACTTGCATTTATTGACATGAGTTTTGTTATAGATATGTAATATATTGTCGTTATTTCACAGGACAAATTAGTCCAGATGTCCGCAGTTTCGAAGCATTTTGGACTGAAATACAAAGAAGAATCGTACATCTTTAAAGAGCTGGAGAAGATGAGACAGGAAACTAAAAAGGATCTTCTCCAATTCAAGCAGAAGTTGGCCTCCAAGCCGGCTGTGGATGAAGCCTCAGTGTGCGGCCTCCAGGCCCCCGGCCCTGCCCCTCCTGGGGAGAAGGTCAGGGCCACCTACGATGGACCCCAAAAGCCATCAGGGTCCCCTCGAGCTAAAGGCCCTACGACCCCCGCTGCGGCCCTCCTGCAGCAGGCGCCCCGAGGCGCAGCGCGGCCCCCGGCCCCGAGCGAGGCGGCCGCTCCCGGGAAGACCCGGCCGTTTCGCCCCCACGACTTCTACTTGCGGAGCTCTGCGTTCCTCCGGTACCAGCCCCAGAAAAAGCCGCCGGTCATCGCCTCCAGGGCTGGCACGTCGAGACCGTTAGTCCTGATGCCGCCCCCTGCGGCAAGGGAGAGGCCCGGGGCGCGCCTGGGCCGAAGGAGCCCGAGGCCCACGGGCCCCAAGCCCGTCCTGCACCCGGGCCGGGAGCGCGACGCGAAACGGGAGACGGCCGCGCTCGCAGAGGCCCGCCGGGCCAAACCCAGGAAGGGCAGCTCCGTTTCCAGCCAGGAGGGCGACGCGGAGGCGGGCGACGCGGAGGCGGGCGGCCGGCGGAGAGCCAGGAGGCACGCCCTCTCCGTGAGCTCGGGCTCAGCCAGCCAGCGGCGGGAAGCGCGCGGATCACTTTCCGAAAGCCAGCCGGGGAGCATCCGGCTGGGCGACTCGCGGGAGACTGCCCCGCAGGCCGCGCAGCGGGTGCGAGTGATCCCGACAACCATAGAGGAGATCATCGCCTCACTGCAGTCGGAGGCCCAGCTGGCCTCCGACCAGACTATCAAAGAGCTCATACAGAGTGTCCTCGGCCAGAACTACGACATTAAAATGGAAGTAGGTGAACCAGAAGAAGAGTTAATATTTCTCCTGGGTAAATGCAACTTTAGGAAACATTCATAGCATATTTAAGTGCATATGGAGTGTTACCAGCTGGACAAGCTGGACAAAACACTGGGGTGTTACTCAAGTGCTTTGAATTTGGAATTCGAATTTTTGAATATTCCATCGAGGGGGAGTGTCTCCTCTTTCAGTGAAAGAAATTGAGAGGTTATCTCAAAAATTAGCTCAAAGCACATTGGTTGTAGACCTGAGTAAGACGTCACTGGTAACCTTTCGTTTCAAAGTCTTTGTGACTATCTAGTATTGAAATAACAGAACAGATGTTTTATATGGAAAACTCAGTCATTTTCTGTTATAACTTCACATTAGCAGTACATTTTTATACTAAGCAGATCAATATATTACTACTAAGAAGTTGAATTTGTAGTTCTGTGTCATTTTTAGTGAAAATCACTCTCTTAAAATATATATTTTTTTAAGATTTTATTTATTTGACAGAGAGGTGAGAGAAAGCAGGAGGCAGGGAGGAGGGAGGGGCAGAGAGAGGGGGAGAGGGAGAGGGAGAGGCAGGCTCCACGCTGAGCAGGGAGCCCAGGATCATGACCTGAGCCAAAGGCAGACGCTTAACTTATTGAGCCACCCAGGCGCCCCTCTCTTAAAATATTTTAAAAAATTTACTTCCTAGGCCTTCCTAGTTATAGAGATTATAAGTGATTCTTGTGTGCCAAGCAAAATGAGACACAGTTTGCGTGCATTTTGTCCCAACAACTTCATCAGATGGATACCTATAAAAGCCCCACTTTACATAGGATGTTTCCTAGCTTTAGTGATGTTAAAGGATTGGCTCGGTGTCCAAACTAAGGAATGGCAGAGCTGGGATTCTACCCCAGGTGGACACACCCCAGAGACTGGACTGGAAACATGCCAGAACTGTCCATTTCTTGATTGTGATATGTCCCCAGGAGGGAGCAAAACTAGATAGGGTTATAGGTTATGATATTTTGTCCATTACATAGACTGCTGTGGCAGGGACATTCAAAGCAAAAATAGCAACAATGGAATCTGAGTCCCACAGAAAGAGAGAGGGAGGAGGGGAGGAGAAGGGAAGGGGGGAGAGTGGAGGGAAGGGGAGGGAAAAAGGAAAAAAGAGACGTAGTTTTTTTGAGAATGGCAATGAGGATGACTGTAAGAGAGAAGATTCTGTTACTGTTCTTGGCTGCGGCACCAAACTTCTTGTTAGTACACAGAATCCTGCTGCCACATTATGTCTTTAAAAAAGTTTCAGCCCCAAAATACACTCTAGTCTGTAAGGAATGTGATCATAAAGCCCATTAGGGAACAAAAACATGTAAGGACAAAAGTCCCCAGTGTCGTCTTTGACCTAATGTTTGTTAGCAGAGTAGGACAAATGTTTTCAGTTAAGACCCACATCTCCTCACAGTTACTCAACAGGTCAGTGTGGCTGCTTTAGGGCTGTTTCAAAATGAGGATTTCTTTTCTTTTCTTTTTTTATTATCTTCAGTTAGTCACTGTGTAGTACATCATTAGTTTTTGATGTAGTGTTCAACAATTCATTAGTTGCATATAACACCCAGTGCTCATCATAACACGTGCCCTCTTTAATACCTATCACCCGGTTACCCCACTCCTCTCTGAAAACCTCAGTTTGTTTCCTGGAGTCCATAGTCTCTGATGGTTTGTCTCCCTCTCTGATTTCTCCCCCTTCAGTTTTCCCTCCATTCCCCTATGGTCCTCCATGCTATTCTCTATGTTCCCCATATGAGTGAGATCATATGATAATTGTCTTTCTCTGCTTGACTTACTTCACTTAGCATAATCCCCTCCAGTTCCATCCACGTCAATGCAAATGGTGGGTATTCATCCTTTCTGATGGCTGAGTAATATTCCATTGTATATATGGACCACATCTTCTTTATCCATTCATCTGTTGAAGGGTATCTCGGCTCTTTCCACAGTTTGGCTATTGCAGACATTGCTGCTATGAACATTGGGGTGCATGTGCCCCTTTTTTCACTACATCTGTATCTTTGGGATAAATACCTTAGTGTACTGCTGGGTCGTAGGGTAATTCTATTTTTAACATCTCGAGGAACCACCACACTGTTTTCCAGAGTGGCTGTACCAGCTTGCATTCCCACCAAAAGTTTAAGAAGGTTCTGCTTTCTCCACATCCTCGCCAACATTTGTTGTTTGCTGTCTTGTTAATTTTTGCCATTCTAACTGGTGTAAGGTGGTATCTCATTGTGGTTTTGATTTGTATTTCCCTGATGGCTAGTGATTTTGAGCATTTTTTCATGTGTCTGTTAGCCATTTGTATGTCTTCTTTGGAGAAGTGTCTGTTCATGTTTTCTGCCCATTTTTTGACTGGATTATTTGTTTTTGAGTGTTGAGTTTGAGAAGGTCTTTATAGATCTTGGATACAAGCCCTTTATCTGCAATGGCATTTGCAAATATCTTCTCCCATTCCATGGGTTTCCTCTTAGTTTTGTTGACTGTTTCCTTTGTTGTGCAGAAGCTTTTTATCTTGATGAAGTTTCAAAATGGGGATTTCTAATTAGCTTTTGTGTGGGTCTCACAGAAAAAAGGCATTAGGGATGTGCACTGGCGAGCCTTAATAGAGAGAACACAGGTCTCAGTGCCTGCCCCTGTACGAAGTAACTCTGTGACATAGTCAAGGTACTTGACACGAAGAGGCGCCGGTATTAGAAACTGGCTCAGAGTCCTGCACAGTTGGGAAAAGTTACCTTTTCAGAGCAAGGGCCATAAGAGAGGAATGCCCTTGCTCTGAAATCCATTTTGAAGGGTTCAAATAGAATAAAATATAAGAAGAAAGAGTGTCAAATGAGGAATGAATACCAGGACAGTGAGTTCTGTTCTTTCAGGCATTTTATTTGTTTTGTGTATCTGTTTGTGGTGCTACAGCCACCTGAATTGTTCAATGTAGAGGAGGGGCCCGGAGCAGTAGAATCAGGAGCCAGGGGCACTAGCGCTGTGTTTCAGGACTTAGCCTGTATCAAATGCCTTAGTCCATCCCTGCTTTTCATTATATTGATTTTTAGTGCTTTCATGATTTTTAGTGCTTTGGTGATTTCATTCTTCCTTTTTAAATTTTGCCTTTCTCCACCCCAACAGTTCCAGAAGACAGAGCTCTGCATTATTTTGAATGAAAGTGCTTTCAAAAGTTTTATTAGGGTAAGAAATGGCTGTGGCTGCCTGGGTAGGTGATAGATTGTAATAAAAAATACAGGTGTAAAAGTGGTGTCTAAGTTATGATTTTAAAAATTCCTAAGATTAGAATAAGGACATTTGTTTGAAACATTCGTAATTTATATAAACAACATCCTTTCCAGGATAAGCAAGGAATATGGTTCTTCACTTTAGATATTTTACCTTGGAATCACACAGCAATCCTCAGAGGGAAAACCGGAGGTAAAGACAATCTTGGCAGGCTGCGTTGTCTTTGTTTAGAGCTTGGGCAAGGCCATTCCAGACCTGACATTCAGAATTTCACAAACAATAGGCCAAAAGTTGCACAGAATACCTGAAGATTAAATTTAGCTGTCAAATGTAGGTTAAACATCTAAACAAAGTTTTCTCATCCTCAACACTATTTACATTTTGGGTTAAATAATTCTTTGTTGTGGGTGGCTGATCTGTGAATTATAGGTTGTGGTTGCCAGTAGCATAATCCTCTTGCTCCCCTTCCTCGCCCGCTGCCCAAGTCATGACAATCAAAACATATATATGTTGCTAAATGAGACCCTGGAGAGTAGGGCACCCTCCCTCCACACATTGAGAATCACTGGCCTAAACAGTATGAATACACCATGGCAGGAAGAATAGAAATGTTATATGGTCCTATGTTTGCTGTACCGAGGAATCAGTTACTCACAACATACATTCTGATTATATGAGACTAAAGTTCAGAGACTACCTTCCAGATGTTAATTGAGGATGAAGGAACCATCCCATCCTTGCTCCTTTCATGTGTAGCTGCTTTTCGCCACAAAGCTCTAAAGAAAAAATGACTTTAACATGACCTAGGTAAGAAAGAATTCATGTTCCAAGATCTTTCATGAACAAATAATATGTAGCCCACAAATGTTATATCACGAAATTTATACCTACTTCCACTTCAGGAAAGATGAAATAGATGTACTTTCCCCCATTTCTTCCATACAACTAAAAACATTATATATAAGACAAATATGAGAGTACTCCAAAAGGTGGAGAGGGGAAGACCGACTGGCTAGGGACTTTGGGTTCCAAGGAATCACATAGTGATGCTTCTTTGGGCTTTCTTTTTTGCCTCATATCCTCTGGACTTGAGATAAAGAAGCTGGCAAACTAGGAATGTCAATGGATGCAGAAAATGCTCCAGCAAAAGCCGGCTCTCTTTAGCCAAGGGATCAAGAAAGGCGAAGACTAGAAAGACAAAACTTTTAGACAATAACTGTGCTACTCAAGCCACAAACAGCAGGAAAAAAAAAAAAATCTATGACCCCATCCACACACCCACCAGCCATTGCTGAATGGGGATCCTGGACTGTCAGTCTCACCAGGCTGTAACAAGTTACCCCAACCGTCTCCCCAGTGAGGTGGTGTCAGTGGAAAGTTAAGACTTTCAATAATGCTCAGCAGTAAAGAGGTTGCCCTCTCCACTTTCCCTGTGTCACTGGAGGCCATTTGGGGAACAGTAATGAGATACCCCTATCCCTTACAGCTAGGATGGTGTCAGTAGACGCCTAGTGGGGACCAGAACTCCTACTCCCACTCAGCAATAACAAGGACGCCCCCACCCCTGGTGTCAACAGAGATCAAGTTGAAACCTGGACTACTACCCCTACCTGGCAGTAATGTCGTCCCCCAACTACCCCTGATAGAGTAATGCCATAGGAAGCCAGCTAAAATAGGAAGTTTAAATGAGATCCAGACTCTCATAATACTCAAATGTCTAGGTTTCAGTAGAAAAT